CCCCTGAGGACTGTCAGCCACACTGCCTGTGAGAGGCAGCTCGTTTTTATTAACAAACCTGCAGGAATAGTACCTACCATCTGACTCAGGGTTCTCTTTGTAAGACTCTCTTTGCAAATGGATTTTTTCCCCAGCCAGGTATATAACTTCCATATCAAGAAATGCTCCTCTAAGAAGAAAGGCTCTTTCCTGAGAAAAAGACCAAGACACCCGAAGAGGAGTCAGTCCTTCCTCAGCCTGTGAGATGCCTGGATGTACGTGGCCAGAGAGGGCCAGGAGCGGTATGAGGGGAGAGCCCTCAGGGGGATGCCAGGGCAAGCCGGCTTCGCCCATCTGTCCCACAGGAGAACAACAGTACGGGTCTAAAAACAGAATGATAATACGGGTCTAGAACTGTAATACAGATCTAGAAACAGTAATGAAGATCTGGGTATCAGTGGCTCCTTGAACTGTTTTCAAGGAATTAAGTAATTTCTTTGTCTTTTAACTCCTCCACCATGTAAAATAATAGTAATAATACTTTACATTCTAAAATATTTTGTGGATAAGGAAGTATTTCACATGCATAATTCTACTCAGGCCTCATGAGGACCCCGTGAGCTAAGATGTCTTATCCCTTCTTTGCAATGGAAAAGCTCTGGTTCTGAGCAAGTAAGAGGCGCACCCTGGGCCCGAGTCGGTCAGGGATCCACTAGGAACCAAGGACTCTTTCTTTGCCAAAGAAAACTACGGAGACTGGTTGGTCGGGGGGTTCTTACCAGCCAGTTGTTAATAAAGGTTAAAATTAAATGATTTTGGCTCCTCTTTGCCATTTGTTTCTCCCGCATTAAATACATTATTTAATCAATGATCTCAACTGCCTCCCAACAGCAGAAAGTTAACCTTTACACAGACTCTGTTTAATATTTCATCAATCCAGTCCTAGCATCAAAATGTCATTTCATAAATTATTTCGTCTGTCGCACCCTTATTTTCCCTTCCCTAAGATGGCAATTAACATATGAAACATGTTTAAAAAACCACGCTGAATGCTTTTGCACCGATCATCTGGCTTCATCCTACTACAAACAAGACAACAGGCCCAAATGGAGTCACTCATGCTAAGCCCGTCATCACCAAACTGAGACTTAACTCAGTTACAGTGTTGGCTCTCCCAGAGCTGGAATCCGGGGCCGGCCAATCAGGAGTCACCTGCCCAGCAGGGGCGAGGTCCTCTGCCCGCAGGGCCCTGGCCACCCCCTATGGGAGGGTGACTGCAGTACCAAGCCTGCCCTCTGCCCTGTCCCTGCTTGCCCCTGCACCCTTCCACCTAGAAAAATCTTGCATTTTGTACAGCTTCTTGGAGCACCTTTCTATCTGCTACATTGCATACTGCCCAATTCGAATGGATTTTTGCTCAAATAAACTCAAAATTTTTCATTTGCCTCAGTTTATCTTTGAACGGTTCTAAAGCAACCCTATGAGGCAGGCACTGACTACTTGGCTTATTTTTTACATAATGAAGATGAGGCCTTATAAAAGTGAAGAGACATGGTCTCACCCAAGTTTTCATGGCTACTGAAAGGGCGGGGCCGGAATTCAGGCCAAGGTGCCTTAGCGGCCAAACAGTACCTGTGCTCTGCAGGTCCGAAGTCCCCTTTCCGGGTGCACTGCCTCCAGGTGGCAGGGCTCCATGGTAAACAAAGGCAGGCGTGCAATGATGCATCTCCAGGTTACGTGTGCAGTTACTGCCTCGTGGTTGAGGGCACAGGTATCATGCATGCACTTCACACTTCAGCTAAGACGACTATTTCTGTAAACTTCACAGAGATCCAGAGAAGCAAAGAAATTCCTCTTCTTATTCAAGGAGAGGCCCACCATTGGGCAGGCACATCACCTGTGTTACTTGACCAGTGAGAGGAATGGAACGGCAAGCTGCCTCTGAGAGTTTCTCCGCTGGCCAGGCTGGTGATCCGGGCCTAGATTTGCAAGATTCGGGAGCGCAATCGGTGGGTACAGAAAACAAAAAACCAAGTGGCCCAAGTAGGGACCTGGCTTCATTAATATGCATTAATTAGTCAAGCAAACATACCCAAGCCGTATTTACATCGAGTTTATTTGCAAAAGAAAAGAGTTAGCCAGAACTCTTACCCTGGAGAAGCAAGGGCTGTTTTTGGGCACATGCCACTGTGTTGTTTGCCGAATCACGCATCACGTTGCACCTGTGTTCGGAGACAAGGCCCACTCACGGCTGGCGGCACAGGAGTGGGTCCGGGAGGAGCCTGTCTCAGCTTCCTGACCTTGGCCCCTGTCCCTGCACCGCGCTGGGCAGTTGCCAGCAGCACTTGGACCTGTGCGGGCTGTGGGAAGGAGAGAGAAAGGGCGAGAGTTTTGACTTGATCTTAAAGAAAGTACTACCAGCTGGACAGATTTTCAGTTCAGTTAAACGTGGGCCCCAGTTCAGACAATCTTAAATGTGCTCTTTCCCAGAGCTGGATGTTAAAAATAAACCTTTTTTAAAAACTCACAATCATTTACACAAATAGTTTATTTCCATTTGTCTCTTGTTTTCCTCCACCAAAGGGTACACAGCCATTACTCAGAGGGATAATTATGGGGATCGGAGGGACCGAGGACCTGAGCCGCCTCCAAATCCGCTCTCTGCTAGAACCTCAAGCAATCTGCTCACAATTACTGAGCTCATATAATGAGCCTGACAAGCCCAATGTCATGTCGGAGATAAATGCTGGAAATAGCAGCATAATGAGGCAAAATCTGATTTGTATTCATGTAGCTGTTTTTTAAAGATACCTTAACCCATTCACTGACTTGTGCAGAGAGAAATAAGGTGAGTCACATCCCCTGGAAAACAGGGAACAGAGCTCTGGCATGACAGAAAACAACATTCTCAGTGCAAGGCTTGAAATCCGAGTCGGAATCCCAGGTTGTGCAAGTCGCCACCCTGCTCTGAGCCACGGAGCTCCCAGCTGCCAAATCCCGTGGAACCAGGAATCAGAAGGAAGGCACATAGTCCAGTCCCACCACCATCTTCTGAGCCGGCATCTGAGTATTTAGGTGGCCCAGTTACAGGGGAAAATCCAGGCAACCGAGTCAGAATCACAGAGTCACATGCCGAAGCCAGCACCTCCTCCAGCTAAAACTCACTGTCCCGCATCCGGAGGCATTTCTTTGTTTAAAGAAGAGAAAAGAGAAACATTTTGTAATTGTAAGATACAGAGAACTGTTCTAGCAGCAAAAACTACAGAAAATACAAGGAAAACCTATAGGAATGCCATAGGATTTAAATGAATAATCACAGGACACCAAACATCTCACAGAAATGTAGCAAATCTCAAGATGGCCTCACGACACAAATACCATGAAGCTGTGTGTTGGAGCAACACTAAAACCCGGACGTGCTGCCCTTTAGGTGATTAAAAAAAAAAAAGGTGTGATGTGAGTCTCTACACCAACTGGTATTTTTTTGATCTATTGTGTAAACATGGATCTTCTAGCATGTCCTCTGCCCCAACCACTCAGGGCCACCCCCCGTCACTCAGGAGTCCTGGGACTGGAGAAGGATGTCATTGTGAGGCAGGGTCCCGGACAGCGGCCTCAGGAGGAGTCGGGCTGGCAGACGCGGACAGACGGAGAGATGGCAGTGTGAGTCCAGGTCCTGACGTGCATTAGCTGTGCAGTCTTGCACATATTACTTAGTCAGTATAAGTCTCAGCCTCTTCATCTGTGAAATGGGGATAATAACGTTTCAGAACTAAAAGTTCACAGCCTGGATGAGAGAGAATGCTCGCAAGGCGCGGGGAGCGGCAAGCAGTCATCAGCGCCAGCTGCGGCCCTGGTGCCCCTGTGGCCGGCACACACCGAGGGGGCCACTTGCACTGCAGCCTGGCTCACGAGCGCTGGGAGTTTGCTCTCCGCACAGCATCCGATGTCTGTCATCCACAGGAAGCCCACTGGGGACCACAACCTGCAGACTCAGTAGGCAACACTGCTTACTTAGAAATGAGAAAAAGAGAGAGAGAAACCTATGTACCTTTCTCTTCCTTTCCTCATGACATCTGAAAGGATTCATAGAAACCAGGGTAATCAAAGGATACAAAACAGGTGTTGATCGATCAGTTCTTTTCCCACTGAATCTCACTGTCACCGATTTCCACAGATCCAGAAATCAAGAAGCCACGAGTTTACTGTGCCTATTGGTCCCGTGGAGATGTCACATGTACCGGGGAAAAGCAGAGAGTAAGGAAATGAATTAATTAGCCTCAGGCACCAATCAAATAATGCCTTTAACTTCTTACCTAATAAGCTGGGACTTAGTCATGAGCTATGATTGACCATTAATATGTATATAATGGTATTTGAATTTCACAAATTTGACCTTTGATATAAAGAAGTCAGCCTTGGTCAAGACTGAATACTAATGGCCTGCAGTGGAAAAGGCTATGAAAGAGTGTTGACAGAGCCTCCTGCAAAGTATGAACCAACACAGAAAAGCCTTAAAGGACCTAAAATATGCCTGATCTGGACTGAGCTGGCACCAGCGAGTCCCTCCGCTCCCACCAAAATCCCTACAGCCTCCCAGACTCCGCTGATGGTGGCGTGAGCAAAGCAGTATCTGAAGGCTCTCAGACCCGTCAGTCAGTTTAGCTTTTTTGATGGTGAGGAGAGAGTTACCGGGCTTGCGGGCTTTCTGGACTGTTTGCTGCTACCCGTTTGCACTTGACTATCTACTTTGAGTCTCTGTGGCGTCTGGGGCAGAACGGAGGACAGAGAAAGAATGGAAGGCTGGAGGCTCACAGCAGAGAGGAGAGGGACCCCTCGGGGGAGGTGTCGCCTTCCAGCGCCAGTACCAGGCAGGGAAGCGGCGAGGAGGCCAGGAGGCTGCCCATCCCTTCATGCACACAGGGCACTTTAATTAATTATCTCTGTGTAAAAACTACTCTAGGAGCCGGGGAAGCAGGGATGAATGGAACCTGGTCCCCATCCTTTGTTATCATGATGTATGGGGTAAACCAGTAAAATGCACACACACTCCCCGCTTGTACACAGCGGGGCTCCCCGTGGCCGGAGCCAGCCATGAGGTGCAAACATCCGAAAGGTTTCCAGAGGAGGGACATCAGGGAGCTTCTCAAGGCCAATCGCACTCTGGCTGGGCAGCTCAAGGAGGAAGCGGGAGTTGGCATGAAGGCAAGCTGAGGGTGAGTGGGACGAAGAACATGCTTGGGGCAGACGCAGCAGCATGAGCATCAGAGCCCCGGGGAGCCTGGGGTGCTCAGCGCCTCTGGGAAACGAAGGGCAAAATGCAGCAGGAGGGGAAACACACAGGGCAGAGGCCGAATCACGAGGGGCCCAGGATGCGTGTCCAACAGTCCATGTTTAGGACGGGATTTCTGTCCAAGAATGGGCAGCATGCATTTGGCCAGAGAGTCCCATGTGCCCTAATGTCACTCAGGAACACCAGCATGTGGGTGGCAGGAGGGAAAGGAATACGAAAAATTATTATTTCAATTAAGTAACATTTATCTGCAGTTACAAACAATACGAGGATGTGGCATCTGTTCTCTGAGGCCTGATTGTTGGTTTGGGTCTCCAGTCTTAACACTGTCTTAAACGAACACCATGCCCTCTAATTTGCTAAAATTGCAAGGTGAGTGTTTGATAAAGACAGATTAAATACAAGGATTCAATCCTTTTCTGTTTTTTCTGAGCTTAACCTTAGGGGTGAAACCAGAGCCTTCCTTGGCATCTGCACGCCGGCATGAACCCTGGGTCTGTGCGACCCCCAGGTCGGCGCCAACTGCCAGCTCTTGCTGCAGGGGGCTGTGTGGCATAGCCACCTGGGGCACACGGGGGTTTATGCTAATGGCACCGCTCTCTGCGATCCAGGACACAAGCACATTCTCCGGTTACTGGGAACGAGCAAACCTACGGGGTGGGGAGGAAGCAGGTCTGCAGGTGCCGATCTGCACCCAGCTCCAAGGTCACGAGGTTTCTCTGGCCTCCTTCCCCCCATTCCCCTTCATCTCCTCCTGCACCTCCTTCTCCTCCAGTACGTCGGGCCCCTGCCCCACCACATGGCCAGAGGAACAGGGTGGACCTTGGCTTTCCAGCCGCTGTTGTTCGGAATCTCCTGAGTCCCCCTCCTGGCCTTGCATAAGGTGCCTGCCCTGCTGACACATGGGCACTGGGGTACCGAGTCACACACTGAATATTCTTCTGTCCCCATTTTCTCAGCAAACAGGCTTAACATCAGCTGCAGCATTAATGCTTGTGAGGTTATGTGAAATTCAGCGAGGGAAGACTCTAAAGTAAATGCTACGGAATTCTGATTTACAACACTGTTTCCAGAGAGCTCAGCCTGTCACACTGCCCTGGGGGCGGGGCCTGCAGCAACAAAGGCTCCCAGTGTCCTTCCCGTCCGCAAGAAGACTGAATTACTGTCGCTGGAAACAAAACCTAAGTTTCCTGTTAAATTTACTTTCAGCTCATATGTCACACCTCTCTCAGCCCGAGAGAAACACGATAAGGGAGAGAACAGTCGTTTCATTTAAGCCTCTCAGAGCACATATTTCCCAGGTAAAGATGACCCACAGGAGGATAGATTTGGACAAATCTCAACATAAAAGTGATTCAACTCCACATTTTAGTATATAGTGGAAAAAAACCACACAGAATGACAGTGTCTGTGCAGAGGGAGCGCGTGATCAGGGTGGTTCTTGTCTCTGTTCTTGTGGTCACAGTTGTAAGCTAGGAGTCGCAGGAGATTGTACAGGCCAACGATGGGAGGGGGAGGGGAGCCTGGCACCGATGTGGCGGAGGAGGCCTGACAGTCAGGGATGAAGCACAGCGCTGGTCAGAGGAGGTTGGCCAGCTGACTAACAGCGTGGACCAACTAGAGGAATTGGGCTCCTGGCTGAGGGGCCAGGAGGTGATCTGCAGGAAGGACACGGTCACCTGGACGAGGCTGTGCCTGCACCCGGGCTCTCCCTCCCTTGGCCCAAGTACTCAGCCGTCTTCAGAGCAAAAACCAAGCATGCTCCCTGCTGACGGCCCAGATGCTCACTTCCAGCGACTTGTCAAAGCCTCCTCGCGATTCCTCACCCATCCCGAGGGTCTGGGAAGCAGTACCTGCTTCCCAAATCTCAACTCAGACATCATCTCCAGGGCCATCTACTCCAGCTTCGCCGACGAGAGTCAGTCCACGTTAGATGCTCTCACAGCCTGGCTGTCATTTTCTCCAAAACACCCGGGAATTAGATATTTATTTTTCTGGATTCTTTTTCTCCTGTTTTTCCTTGATTAAACTGTAGGCTTGTTGATTGTAAGAAGTGTGCTGTTTCTGCTTAGCACTGTGTTTCCAGTTTCCACACAGAGCCCAGCGCGCAGTAGGTGCTCGCTGTGAGCACCTCAGTCAGTGAATGCGTGCATCCTACATGCACATGACCAGAAGGTGCGCAAGCCCCTGCATGGGGGGTGACGGCAGCAGGAGTGCAAGGCCAGCACACACCCAAGAATCACGAGTCACCTTCTGGCTGGACTCCCTTCCCGGGAGCACACGCTGCCAAACACACCTCAAGGGTGGGTCAGACAGAACCAGATCTGTGGGGAGTTTTTACTGTTTCATATTGTGTTTGTATCTTCCACGTAGGATCTCAGTGCTTGACTTTTCTTATATGGCCACGGGAGGCCTTCAGAATGAGATTCAGAATAATTCTTAGGGATTTCCTGGCATACTGACCTCAGCCAAGGATCACTTGTTTTTCTAGACCAGAAAGATCCAGGCCTCGTGAGTAACAGGCTCTTGGATCCGGCACAGAAATCCTCTCAGCAGGACTTGGCAGCAAGGAGTTCGGACGCCGTTTCCTCATCCCCCTGAAGATTCTAGAAATGCCCTTCCTGCAGAAAGCAAGTAGCTGGAGGCAGAGCATGGCCACCCAAGTTCTCCTGTGACTGCAGGGGAGTTACGACTTAGATCCAGGGCCAGTGAGCACCCGGCAGGCACTCAACACGCGGCAGAAGCTGTTGGAGCCCCTCTGCTTCTAATCAAAAACTGCTTCATTCATCTGTGCCACGTCCATTTGTGATACTAAAGTAAGGGGGGAAATGTGTCAATAAAGACACCACAGAATCCCACGAGGAAATCTGTGGCTGTACCAACAACTTGCCTGAATCAGGATCGGGGGAAAGAGTACGAAGATGGACTCGGAAGCTACTGGTCTTCCTAAAGCAGAGAATGTCCTTAGAAGAAGGAGAAAACGGTTATGAGTCAGAGGAAGCCAGACTGGGATCCTGCTTCGGCCACCGAGCTGTGTGACCTTGGGCAAGTTACTGCACTTTTCTGAGTCTGTTACCTTCTTTTAGAAATGGAAATATCTGCCTTCCAGCACCATCCTGAGGTTGGAACTAATGCGTAGAGAGATGCCAGGCTGACCCACAGTAGGTTCCACCATTCCTTCCATTGGACAAACTCACTTCTCCATTTTTCCAAATCTCTGTTTCCATCCTGACTCAAACCATGTGTCCTCCATTCACGCTGCTGTTTCTTGTGGAGTTTGCTGAGCCCAGTGGTGGCACTGTGTGGCTTTAACTCTCTGTGACAGTAGTGACTTGAGTGGCACACTGATTTTTGTGGTCTCAGAGGATGAGAGAGCCAGAGAGTGAGGACAAATGAGCTAAGAAGTGGGCGAGTCCAGGCACCGCTGGCCCCCCAATTTGTGCAATTTGCAGACCCCCTCGTAGGAAAAATACACATAAAAATTTAAAAATTATGAATAAAAATTAGGGAGGTAGAACAGTGAATATTTACTAAGAAAGAGACAATAAGGCAAATAACACATTTAAAAAATGCAACAACCGTAATAGTTTTAAAAAAGTAATTTTTTTAAATTAATGAGATGCTTGGCATGACTTTTTCATACATTGCCTTAGATTTTGTGGCTACATAGTTATTCTTCGATCACCTGTTCTTATGACAAATTCTGTAATATCATAGGCTGTGCAAGTCAGGAGCCCTGAATTCTAAGCTTTGGTAACGATAGATAAATCCACCTCTGCCTGAAAAAGAAATGTCTCTCAGCACCATGACCGTGGATGCTGACGATCTGGAAAAGGATGAGCCCTGGGCGGACAGAGACCTGGACGAAAGCTAGAGGCCCAGGAGCTCCACCTAACCCGCCAGATGTGTTGGCTTTCCAAGCGCTTTGTGGATTTAGAAATGTGAATAGAGGGTAAGCTTCTGAGACACAGTGGGGCTTGGTTGTTATTTATGCATAAGAGTGGCATGGTATTAAAAAAGCCTATTGCTAAATAAGTCTAAAGAGCTCTTTCAGTAAGTGAAAATGAAAATTCTTAGTGATATGAAAGCGTGGGGTCATGGCTGACTTGGCCACACGTGTGTGTTTGATGCATAAAATACTGGCACGTCCTACACTCCGGGCCGTCTGGACTGACTCCCATGGGCTTGTTTATCTTGTTCCCCTGCCCATTCTGAGAAAGGCTATCTCAGAGGTCAAGGAGTTGGGGACAATGTAAATAAACCATTCATACCAAATGGAAACGTGCAGTGATTTAGCCCCCCGAGCTTGCGGGCTGGATGGGGCCCAGTTCGGCCCCATCTGCGTGAGGCCCCAGCAGTGGGATGGCGGGAAGCAGCGGGAGTGGACAGGGCCAGGGAAGCAGCTGGAATGGGGCCTGTCAGAGGAACAAGGCAAGGAGGCTGATTGTAGAGCAGGAGAGAGGAAGCCGGGCGTGGGGTCAGGCAGAACTCGGGGGCCCGCCAAGAACAGGACAGGAGCCCCGAGGTTGCCTTGGTCAGAGCTCCTGCTCCTGTGGCTCACGCCCTCCTGCCGTGGCTCCTGGCAGGCTTCTGACAACACGGCTGGAAATCACCCACCATATCTGGGGCAGGTGACATGATTGCACCGGTGTGATCGAGTCAGAACCACCCTCACAGGGAGGGCTGCGGCCATGCGGAAGGGGCAGCAGACATATTCCACACACTTCCAGTAGGCAAAACTCAGACCCGCGCGCGGAATTTACAGAAAGGGCTTCTAAACCCTGAGAGTACGAGCATTGCTAGACTCATCTGCCCTTGTCCACCTGGGACAGTGCCTGGGTCATTCCAGATTATCAGTACTATGGCTTATATTAATGAATAAAGATAAGAACGATCAGAAATTAACGAGTAAAGAGAGAGCTGCTCAGCTATCAGAGGCGCTCCATGGTGGAAGGGAAGCTCACAGCTCCTTCAGAGCCCAGGTGATCGGCTGGAGTTCCTAAGAGTCTAGTCTGCCCACCACAGCAATCTACACGTAACACTGAACATGCACCAGACACCATGGAGAGTATCTTACACGTACTGTTTCACTTAATTCTTACAGCCGCCCTGTGAAGTAAGTCGTGTCATTAATTCCATTTTATAGATGAGGCAACTGAGACACGGAGCAAATGTATTACTTAACCAAAGTCAGACATTCAGCAGAGAAGAGGCCAAGCCAGCATCTGAACTCAGTGACCCTGGTTCTAGAGAGTCCTATCTGACTACTGCATTATGCCGTTTGGCAGAGAGGAGCTAGGATCCAGTCCGATGTCCCGTGAGAGGTGCGTGTGCTCCTTTGTTACAGGCAGCGAGTCTGAGATCACGGTGCGCATCGGCTCAGTCGCGTAGAGTCAGACCCCTGCCCTATCTTCGGCTACTCTGATCGCACGTCAGCAGGACTGAGCACTCACCTTACTGGACAAGGCATTTGTAAAGTACTGCCACACAGGGTGCGAGGCCCATGTGAAACAAATCCTCATTTGACCACAAAAATATTAAATAAAAACTAAAATCTATTCTGTTTTTGTTTTTGTGTCTTCCTCCAGATTCTCAACATCATCACAAAGGGGCATTTGCTGTCAGCGATCCGGCAGCCCCCCTGGTGATGCCCACCCAGCCTCAGCCGGGTGCCAGACGACCTTCTGCTCATTCCACTGCAGTCGGTTCCCCCATGAGAGGGACACAGATGCCGCAGTGCAGAAGCTGGCACTGCGTGCCACGGGGTCCGGACGGGGCACAGGCTCAAAGGAGAAACATCACCCCACGGGGGCCAGGCCGCTGAGCACACTGCTAAGGAAAAGCACCAAGAGGGAGGTGTCCTGGATATATTTTTAGCCAGGAAATCATATTTCAACTGAAGACATGGAAACAAGTTGCTTTGAGGTCTCTAAGGAGTCACAGGCAGTATAATGCAGTATTGCTTCCCAGGAAGAAGGGTAAGAGTCATCACTATTGCTGATTGCATCACCAGAAATCATAGACTATTCCAGACATTTCCACACTATTATCTACCTTCATCCATAGGTCACTGAACAGTAAATGGCAGAATTACAATTTGAACCCAGTTCTCATGATTCCAGATCCATGGACTTCCTACTATACTAAATGGCGTAACATAAAAAATATGCCTTTAACGAGGTGTTCCGAGTTCTCTCCCAGAGCCCAGTGCTGTATCAGGTTTCCCCTGTGGCTGTTGTGTGAACCTGTCCAGCCAGACGAGCCGTGGAAATGTTAAAGAACAGGCATCCGATGAGACTTGCTTGGCGGCACCAGCACTACAGGTGTCTGTGAACCTGCCAAGAAGACAACAGTGGGCAACTGACATTCTCAACCTGCACATAACAGCGGTGGCACTTGGGCTTCACCAGCTCTCCCACCAAGTCTGCCTACCTCAAGGACTGAGATGTGGGCCTTGCCTGCGTGACCCGGAGGCTGGAGCCATCAACTGTGCAGGCGTATACATTCATTATGTGATGAAAGAGCCAAACAGGGAAATGCAACCTCTGCAGGGAGCCTGGGGCGGACATGGAGACGGAGCGAAGGGAACGCGGGGCCATACCGGCGGCCGACTGGAGTTAAGGCAGCTCTGATGAGAGGAGGCTGCGGGCCGGGGAGACCAGACCCTGGGGGAGCCAGTGGCAAGGGATGGAGAGGAGATGCCAGAGATGCATGCCAGCTGCCCACAGAGTCAGAGAGACTCAGAGCTCCAGCCTTGGCGGTCCCAGAAATAAATCAATGACCCTTGATTAGATGAAGTGAGGTCTGTACTTAAGACCGTAGAAGAAACAACTTCCTAAAGATCAGATTTAACTGAGAATGTAGTGAGCTCTGTAGGGGGTGGGAAGACCTTGCCAGTGGCAGCACCGCCACACTCAGTAGAAAGAAAACAAAGAAGAAACACATGCACACGTCTCAGCAGAACTGCCATCGCCATGAGCGCAGTGCAGGCATCATGTGTTTCATGTGGTCTGTGACCCCCCCAGGGCCCCCCATCTTTCTCTACGGGAAAAGATCAGAGACCTTTACATCATGTTCTGAAAATTATCTTTCCTGACTTTCCTCTGCTTGGGGGACGCCTCCTCACCACCCACCATCACTACCCCAGCTCGGGTGGAATCACGCGTTTTTTCCCAGTCACTCTATTTTGACATGTGGCCGCTCCTGTATTCATCGCCCCGGGGTCTGCCCCCTTTATCTTCAGGTCAGCGACTCACCTTCAGATGCAACCCGTGGCACTGGTTGGGTTCCACGACAGCAGAGATCAAAGACTAACATGGAGATCACGGCGAAGCGTTCCTCTTACCAGCCACGCATTGTTCTGTTTGAGCCGGTATCTCCCTGTACCGTAATCACCCATTCTCAGGTTCCAGAGGACCCTTTTCTTTGCTTTTCAGACCCATTTCAAGCCATGGTGTCAGCACTTCAGGCTAGCTCCTCTGGCCTCCAGTGCTGTTCCAGTGCTCTCCATACATTACCAGTTTTGTATTCAAGGAACCAATTGCTGAGCTGAAAGAAGAGATCCTAGAATTCATTTACACCAAATGCTTCATTTTATAGACGGAAAACTAAAGCCCCCAAACGTGATATGACTTGTCCAAGGCCATAGAATCAGCAGCAGAGCTGGGACCCCTGTTCCAATGGTGCCAAGCTGGCTTCCTGGTCAAGGGGAGCCATCCCTTCTCAGGTCATGACTGCCAAGCCCACCCTGCCCCGACTCCCCTCTTCCTGCTGAGGCCCCGTGCAGCCAGGCCCTGGCCGGTTCGCTTCTTAAAATGTGATGGGAGAAAACTGTACGGGCTTTTCTTCATCAAAGACAGTCACTCCTTTTGGTTTAGAGATCACTGCGTAGAGGCACTAGGTCAATAAAAAAGGTAGTGAATTTGCTTTTGGCAATATATTAAGGTGTGCGTGTGTGTGCGTGTGTGTGTGCGTGTGTGTGTGCGTGTGTGCGTGTGTGTGAGATAAAGAAGGAAGGGATTTAAAACATTCATATGAACCAAAATTCAGGTGAAAGAAAGCAATATTAATTCTAAAAAGAAGGCATTTTCCTTGTCCTTCACCACCACCTACATGAAAGATTTGAGGTTTCATTGATTTAAACAATAGTATAGATTTGAACAGAACGTATTCATTTTCTAAATCTGAAACAGAATAAAACTGGGATATCAAAAATGTGAACCAAATCTGTCCTGTCCATTTCTGTCTTGCATCTCATTTGAGGTCCCAACCAGCACTACATTGCTGCAGGTGCACAGATGTTGTCCTCCCGTGAATGTCAATCCCTCTAGGCACCAACTAGCTCACAGCCCGTCGGGGGGAAGAAAAGAGACCAGGAACTCACTGGACACCAACCCCGCATCACTCTCCCGCATGCAGATGCTTGCGTTAATGCCATGACGGTCCTGGGAGGTAGATACTGTTGCTGCACTTGTTTCCATTGATGACGGAACGGGAAGCACATACCTCACAGGCAGTACAGCCAGAATTTGAAAGCAGACTGGCCCATCTCCTTTTGTTCTGTGCCGTACTGCCTGCCCTCAAAGAGACTCTCCAAGATCACAGGACAGTCATTTAGCAGGAGGGTGTCAGCCGTCAGAACACGGGACGGAAGAAGCAAAGGGCTCTGGAAAGCCAGCCAACTGTCCAAGCGGCTCGGCGGCCTGAGCAGAGGAAACATCTCCCAGGGCCTCGAGGAGCAAGGGCCGGCGACCTGCTCAAGGGAAGCGGCAGGACAGAGGCTGAGCCAGGCCACAGTGACACACCATCGCACATGTGCTTGCACAGGACGGCCTCCTTGGAGGCATTCAGGAGCAACATGGGTGGTGGACGGTGTGAGAGAACGGAGACGAGCAGCCACCGATGCCCTGTGTTACTGCACCTGTGCAGGGAGCACAGCCTGGGCTCAGACGGCCTTTCTTATAAACCAGAGCTTCATCTGGGACAGTCCACATCCTACGCAGTCCAATCCCAGTGCCATTGCACCCGCTGGGCTAGGGGATTATAGTCCCAGGAGCTGTTAGTGTTTAAAATGCCAATTATTTTCTGGGGGCAGTAAGCCGTAGAGTTGTAGAAACAATGAAAGCCAGTCTTCTCCCCACCAAAACCTACCCATATTCATAGATTCAGAGATACAAAAGATTTTACATTTTTTCCTTACTTCCCTTGTTTTTCTCCTTCCTTTATATTCTCTTCTGTTTTCTTATTCCTCCATTTCTTCAACTCTGAATTATTTTTAAAGTATTTACTGGGTTGTAGATGATGAATGAACTCAAAGAAGTCAGGGAAGCCCCCAGGGAGGGCTGGGAAGATGGGATATGATAACAAAAGTAAAAAACTAGTATTTGTATGGTGACTCCTGGCAGCCATATGTTAGGTCTTCTTTGCCCTCCTTCAATACTTTTCACTTTCTCTCAAGTCCTATTTATCTCTTCATTTCTTTTTTATGTTTAAATGTTCCCACCTTTCGCCTACCATTTCTCTGACAGCATTGTATGTTGTGTTCACTCACTCCTGTGTCCCTTCTAGCTTGGCCTCCATTTCTGAGAGATGTTTTTTATGTCATGTTCTTTCTTTTCTGTAGCCACATTTCTGTGTATCTAATTCTGATTTAGTCTGTGAAAATATAGATCAGAGGAGGGGCTGCCTCTGTTGAATAGCAGCATATTGACTAGAAAAGGGGCACAAAGGAATTTTGTGGGGTTGTAGAAATATTTTGTATCTTGATCTTGGTGACATTATATGAGTATGGCCATTTGTCAAAATTAATTGAGCTGTATACTTGAGACTTGGGCATTTTATTTTATAAAATGTTTTAAATAAGGTTTTACATTAAGTACACACACACGTGTGTGTGTGTGTGTGTATGTGTTTTGGTAAAAGAGCTTTGCAAAAATCACTCAGGAATGTTCAGGAAGTTGCTGGCAGTGTGTTTCCTTCACACAGGCCGTCCGAGTTCATTTCTGTCATGTTATTTCCCCACAGAGAGTAGGGACCTGAGGATAGCATACTGGGCCACCGTGGAGCTTAGCTAATGTCTAAGCTCTGTCGCATCGAGGGAGATGTTCTTCAAGGACTCACTGGCTAGAGGCGAGAAGGTTCCAGTGCCTCTGTTTCATGGGGAGCCCTCTTAATTGTCCAGCTGATAATCTTGGAAACTGACCAAGCGTGGTCAGCAACGATTATCAGGACAGCTCCTTTCCACATGGCTTCTGGCTTCTGCTCTGGTGGACAGTCTTTTCCCAGACACTTTTCTGGGACGCCTCCTCCTGTGGCCTTTAGCGCTGGGATTCCATCTGGCCACATGCACCCATTACGTGAACCCTAGCTGGGGTAGTGGGTAGAACACCAGGGATCCGAGGTCCTACTCTGTAGCTGGAGTTGCCAGGTAAGCAGATACTTGCAATCTTGAGCAGATGCTTGTGCAGAAGTCCAGTGTCCTTTCCACAGCTCTGAGTCTACCCATGAGACCCACCACAGTCTCATCTTCTCCCCCTGCTAACAACCAAATCTAGAGAAGCCACAAGACATACCTTGGAGGAGACAGGTAAGTGATGTCAGGGTGAAGAGCTCATCCCGACATGCCCAGGACTTTCCCAGTTTTCACACTGAAGGTCTGGGGTCCCAAGGACCCCCTCAGTCCCAGGTGAACCGAAGCGGTGGTCACTGTGAGAGGCCTTCTCTGGGCTCCTGGTGCCCTAGGCACTGGGGCTACCTTTGATAAACTCAATCCTCTCGTTACCCACACTATCTTACAATGACAATTGATTGATTTGTCTGATCATAAAAGTATTACAAACTTATTATAGAAAACTTATAGGGAAGAAAAATCACCCCTATTGTGCTGCATAAATAGTTAATGCACTGTGCATTTTTTCTGCTTAGCAATATACCATGAAAATTTCTCTTACTCCTAAATGAACTTCAGGATGTAGGTTTTAGAGATTGCATGATAGGCTATGTGAATAAATGGAGTGTAATTTTAACCATTCCTCTTGGGTTGAATTTGGTTTTGCCGCCCCCACCCCCCACCAGTTTCTTTCTACTTTAAACAAATGCTGTGATTCACATCCTTGTACATAAATCTTCGCAGTGTCCTGGGCACTGTCTTTGCCCACTCCTCCCCAGATCTGCCTTCTTCTTGTAACATAACCAATTGTCTTGGTTTGCCTGGTTCTGAGGAGATTCCCAGGATGTTGGACTTCCGGTGCCAAGGCCAGGAGAGTCCCAGGAGCACCAGGGGACCTGGTCACAGTGCACTGAGGTCCCAGGCACCTCTCAGCACTGGGCATATTACGAATTCCAGAAACTGACCACATCCACATTACAGACAAAGTAGGGCTGCAGCAAGAGGTCAGGCCAGACAGTGGCCGCCTTCTGTGCAGAAGATCTGTCCCTGCACAGAAGCCAGCCTCAGGATGGAGCTGGGGGCAGCCGCCCAACCCAAACAGGATGGGTATGAACAAGGCAGACGAAGGGCCCCGGCAGGCAGGCTGGTGTCCGGGAGGAAGAGGGGAAGAACCTCAAAAACCCAGGCTTGTGGGTGAGGCTGATGCGGAAGGCCTTGAGCAACAGCTCTGTGTGGCCACCCACCTTCCTGACTCACCGCACCCGTCCAGGGCTGTGTGTCAGGGAGGCAGATCTGCGGAGGCAACAGGGCTTCCCAGAAATCTGGCTGGGCCATTTGAATCTGGGTGTTGGAGCAGGACTTCGCCTACCGGGCAGGGCAGGAGAGACAGGAAGCGAAGGCAAAGGGCCGGGTGAGGGGCTGCCGGGGTCCGGGCTGCGAGGACCAGCTCGGCCGCCAGGAAGGCGAACCGAGCAGGGCTGGCCTGTGCGGGGCAGGCCTCCAGGGTGCAGCCAACCCGTGGATTAGGACCCTGCCTCCGACAACTCATGTCTCTGCTCACGTCATTTGAATTACAGAAGAAGCTGTGCTCATTGCCAAAACTCCCAACACAAGTTCCCACGTTCCCCACTCTCCCCTTCCACATATAGAACCTATAAAATCAATTGGCGTGTACCCTGCTGCAGAGTTCTCCGTGTATTCTAACAAAAATATAACCCTATACGTCATGTTCCGCGATTCGGTTTCCTCCTTGAACGTACCAGAGATACCTTTTCGATGTCAGTATTTATAAAGCTAATTCATTCTTTTTAACTGGTGCACTAGTTTTTCTCAGTGTAGATGTAATAATTTCCCAACTAATGGATATTTTCATTTTTGATGATTTAAAACTCTTGCTCATTTTTGATGATTTAAAACGCCAACATTGTCATCATCGGGCATCAGTTTGGCACGGCTGCTCCAGGACAGACAGTGGAACTCTGGCTCCCCGCCTACCTAGGTTGAAAAAAAGTGATGGGCCTGATCGGTCAACAAAGAATGCAGTCTGGGCAGAGGAAGGGGGAGGAAGGGACACAATACAGGGGCTCTGGGTATTTTCACAGATGTATTCATTACACTTTGAAGTGGCTTGTTTCAGTGGAAAACAGGCCTAGAGGGCATCAGGGGACCTGGGACTTGGAGCCTGGTGGAATACACCACACGCCTCCGTCAGGGAGGTGCCAGCCTGGCTAGGGAATCCGGATGGGGACACAGGGCAGAGTAAACAATAACAGAAGTCACTGTGTCGTCAACACGGAAGTCGTGAAACTCATCTGCATAATTGTCCCATGACTGGCACTGCCTCTCAGCGGGTAACTGGTTTTGAGGCTGGCATGGCGTGGCATGGCTTCACGGAAGAGAAAGGATGTGAGCGTGGCCTAGGAAGAGGACTGGGTTTAGGCAGCCTGAGAGGAGAGAGGCATTGTTTGTTCTGAGCAAACTTTCTGGAAGCTTCCACCAGGGCCCTTCAAAGATTTTTGTAGGATGGTGTTCAGCTCAAGACGGGGTGAAGTCCGTGGCAAGAACACCACCAGAAACAGCGCCGTCTCCACCTCCTCCCCTCCGGTGGCCCACCCCCTTGCCAAGCTTCCCATGTCCTCCTCCCCACAACTCACCCTGATACAAAACAGCCTTTCTTTTTTTCTGAGATTATTTAGAAGTATTCCCCTGTAATTACAGTAATCTTATCTCCTTTGAATTCACCAAAATTACCCCTTTTCTTTGTACCAGCGCCTTTGCCACCTGACAGGCATCACTGGTAAGCTCTGTGTAATGGTGCAGTGTTTTTTTTTAAAGTGGCATCTGCTCAAGGAGACTGCTGTCCCTGTCGGACTGACTCATTCGGTGGTGACAGGTCCACATGCCCAAGTGAATGGGTGGGGGTGGGGGACACAGGAAGAGGGAAGCATTTGGGAAAGTATGTTTCAGTTTTTTAGATTAACAACTGACTATTTCATTTCCTACAGAAGAGGAGTGGATGTTACTTGTAGCAACAGTGATGACGACTAATTGCCTCCTAACATCTGAAGCACCGTGTTTCAGGACGCACGAAGACCGCCATGCTTCTCCAATACACCTTGATTACATCCACGTTTCCTATCCCCCACAATCTGGGGGCTCCCCAGTTCCTCTCCCCTGACCTGGGCTCTCCTCAAGTGGATGTTTTGTACAGCTCTTGAGGTTCCCTCTGGGCACATTCCTGCATTCAACAGCTGTGGTCTGGCAAGCCCAGTGGCCTCTTCCCCTTGGGACCCACCTTCAGGCGGTGCCGAGGAGTCCAAGGGGCACGTGGCTCTCCATCAGGGTCCCTGTACTCAACGCCCAGTCCAGTCTCTGAGGGCTTCCCACGGGGCAGGCCGTGGGGACACCAGGACAGCGATGTCACGACTGGGTCCTGGATTAGCCCGTGTATCTGCAAGGTCGTGCTGGGGAAGCCCCAGGGCGCAGGAGCGACTCCCAGGAACGAGCATCAGAGGGCTAGACGAGGCTTTTCTGGGGAGGCGGCACCTCGGATGGGCAGTGGCTGCTTACAGACTTCCAACCCATCTCAGTGCCTGCCTCCTAATACCGGGCGCCCCGTCTGGACCGCTCGGCCCTGCATCACCTGGTCCCCTCAACACGGCTGCCCCGCACACTCCCTCCCGCCAGGTGTCCTCTGCCCCTCACACGTGGCCTGTTCCCTCACTGCCTCTTGCTTCTGACTCTGTGGCTTGCTCATGTTTCCTGCCTAAAATGAACCCTCCTTTACCACCTCCAGAAATAACACCAGCTACAGCCCTCAAATCCACCTCACCCTCGGGGACCAGCTCACCCCCTGATTCCTTAGGAAGCTTCCATCAACCACACCAGACAGCTCACAGCCCCTCTGAAGTCCCGTGGCGCTGAAGCTGTGAACACGACGCGGATGATGTGCGTAAAACATCGGAGCTGAGAACCTCTAGGTGCGGCCATTCTCTTTGACGGCAGGAGACGTCCTGATGCCGTCCCCCACCGGCTGTACTTCTCCAGGCAAGTTGTTTCTTCAGCTATGAAATAAGAAAAGCCATCTCTGCCCTGCGGGGCACACTGAGCAGATGAACCGAACAGGCTGACGCGCCCAGGAAAGGTCTGCCTCGCGGGGCGGCCCTCGATGGGAAGGTGACGGCAGCAGAAGCGCTGTTCGTTCTCAGAAGCGGGTGGGGTTCTCCCTTGCTGCCTGACGGCCTGGGAGCCCAGGCCGGGTGTGCGTCTGGGTGGGGAGCAGAAAGGTCATCTTACGAAGGAAAGGTTGACCATCCATGAAGGATAAAATTAAACATCCTTCAGAGCTCTGCGACTTGCATCTCAGAAGCCAGAGCACAACTGTAACGACACTGTAACCCGTCGATGACGCCCCAGCTCCCGCCTCACCGCTTCCTGGCGAGAGAACAAAGGTCTGGCACTGCCACTCCCTCACAGACAAAGGGATCGCTGTCCTCCAGCAGACGGTGTTCATGGGGAACGAGGGCGCTCGCAGCGGGGGAGGAGGAGGAGGGGAGCCGCGTGGCAGCTGCCTCTTCTGGAAGGCAGTGACCTCTGACCTTCAGCATGAAAAGGTTTTCCAGTATCATGCGAGGATGCGGAGCCATCAGCAGGGAACAGGTGTTGTGAACTGGAGTGATTCACCCCCAGCCACCACCCCCACCTACCAAAGGGCATCTGGCAATGTCCGCAGGCTTTCTGGTCACCATAACTCAGGCAGGGCGGGGTGCCTGTGGCCGCGAGTGGTCAGAGGCCAAGCGTGCAGCTAAACATCCTGTGTTTCACAAGACAGCACCAGCTAATCGCCATCTGGTCCAAAACGCCCATCCCGTCTCGGTGGAGAAACCCTGCAGGAAAAGCAACTGCCAACCACATCCCTGGTCCCACTAATCCCATGCTGAGGGGTCTGAGCCCCAGACCGTTTCTCCTCGTGGGTCCTCTACGCCCAGAGGCCAGAAAAACCGAATTGGAATTGATGAAAATCATCAGCAAACCTTGAAGATCCAGCACAGACATCGCTTCCTCTATGAATTCTCGCCTCGATAGGGAGCCTCCTGTACAGCCCAGGGTCTGACCCCTTTACCACAACTGGGGGATTTTAATACAAGGAATTGATCCCAGGTGATGGAGGAGCTAAAACCGGGGCGGGAAAGCGAAGCAACCCAGACATTAACCACAGCAAGAAGCCACCACCACCCAAAGACTGGGTGGCACGGTACAGCCCGTGGGCCGGTGGGAGCTGGAGCCTGACACAGGCGTCCTGGGAGTCACTGTGTGAGACAGAAACAGAGGGGAAGGAATGCCTCAGTTTCTCCCTTTCTCCTGCCTACCAGTCTCCCATGTGTTTCCCATTGCCTGAATCCACATGGAAGTCGGGGAACCGACAGGGGAACCTGGGAGGTGCAGCCTGCAGGGGTCAGCCCTTTGACACGGCAGAGATGAGCAGGAAAGAGGGGAGGACTGAATGGAGCCCAGATCAAGGAGGCTCCAGCCCGACAGAGCCCAGTGTACTGTGGACCTGCAACTTCCATGGCTTTGATCACATTGTCTCACAGCTACTATTTAAGTACAATTTCCTCCCTATTCTCTCTTCCCATGGGCTGGAATACAGATGTGATGGTAGGAGCTGGAGCAGCCACCTTGAACCACAAAGTGGGTGATGCAGTTTAAGGATGGCAAAGCGACAGGGCGGAAGGAGTCTGGGTTCCTGATGATCGTGGACTACAGCGCAGCCACCTAGACGTCCACATGAAGGGGAAATGAACTTTCACTATCACTAACCCATTTCCGTTAATACTTCAGATCTCTCTACTAAGGCAGCTGAAGCAAAATCCTAAATAACAAAAAATCCCAGGCTTGTTTTCCACCTGCCCTATGCCAGCCCTCAGAGTTGCTGATCCGCTCGGATCCCTGGGTCCTTTTTATTGGGGAATGGTATTTAGAAACCAAGGGGAGCTCATTGCTTCTGGGGTGCTAGTGGGGTGATTTTGCTTCCAGATCCTTCCTCAGACAACGCTAGAAAATATGTTTACATATATGCATATAAAAATGTGTGCATAAAGTGTGTGTATATATACTTACACGCACATACATAATTTAGAATAATGAGTTCACACAGATGATATTGAACGTGAAATACAAACCATCCCCACAGGGTGTTTCCTGCCTAGTCCCATTCCACGTATGTCCCTTCTCCACCATGAGACGCCTCAACTCCACAAAACACATACATTCACTCATCTGCTTAATCGTCTAAGACATCTAAAGTAGTTTCAGAATTTCTTTGTCTGCAGAACTACAGAGAGAAACCCGCTCAGAGGAGCTCAGGGTTCGCTTCCTTCGCTCTGCAGCCTGAGACGGAGGGTCTCTAATCAAATATCATGTTCCTAGGATCCTTAACTCACTCACGTGCTCTGCCCTCTTCCCGGTCTGCACGGTCATGTGATCGTCTGAAACACCTTCAGGTTCACATGTTTCAGCTTGCTTTTGGTATTAGGCTCTTTTCTCCTTCTCATCCTTGTTGATCCAATATTTAATTTATATTTGTATATATTTTAAATAGGTAGCACATAAACCTGCTTAGAAAAGGCAAAAATATACAGAAAGATATTCTTTAAGAATAATCCCGTGCCATCACTCCCCAATCCCTTTATCTCATTTCCTTTCAACACCCCTTGTAAATAGTCAGCTTCTTGGTTTCTGGTTTATTCTTCCTGTATTCCTTTTGGGAAAGGTAAACTAATAAATGCATATAGTTTCTTATTTCCTCTTCTTTCTTACACATAGGGTAACTTACTATATTTATACACTTTGGTATTTTGCTGTTTTTCATTGAACAATATCTCTTGGTAATCACTCACTACTAGTTTGTAGAGACCTGTTGTATTGTTTTGTACGGCTATGTAGCATTCCATTGTGGTGAGTGTACCCCAATGCACTCAACCAATCTCCTATACTGGAATGTTTGGGTAGTTCCAAAAGTCTGCAACATACACAATGCTGCAATAACCTTTTCCATATACAGTTTTATTGTTAGAAGCACATCTTCAAGGCAAACCCTATGATCAAGGGATAAATGCTGACATGAACAAAATAACATTTTACATTCTCACCAAGAATGTATGAAAATGCCTCCTTAATATAAGGCACTGTCAAGCTTATGAATTTTTGCCTATCCTGATGGATAGAAAAGAGCATCTCATCTATACATATTGTAGAATATTTTTAGGGTAGGAAGACACAGTTTACAAGAGACACAGAAATACTATCTAAATGAACGAGGGCTCACAAGCACACTACAGAAAGTTCTCCACTCAAAGGGGTTGATTATCATCAACCAGCGGTTTTGGCTGGCATATGAGCTCGGGAACTGCCCGTATCCAGAGTCATACTGCTTTGAAAGCCTTGCTGCGTCCTATTTATAATGTGCTCAGCCAATTGAAGATCCAATTCATTTGCCTCAAACTGAGTTGTTTTCACAACTACACTCTCAAATTTCTAACTATGTCTTTACTTAATTATGCAATGACTTATTTTACTTTATTGCCTGATTAAGGTGGAAAAAATTCCATATGCCTGTCCAGTTGATTTATCACTCAACTGGTTCAATTAATATGTAGGTCATATGACTCCACACACTTCTTTGCATGTCCATCCTGTCTGGCAGGACCATGTTTCAGATGGATCATAGGTGTCTGATTGCATTCTGCATCTATTTCCTGTATCTGGCTCTCGTCACAGCTTCTAAGGCCATTCTAGGATACATAAGACCTCTCCTGCCTTTCCAGTCTTTTCTCTGACTCTTCTCACAGAGGTGGTACTCTCTCAATCAGGGTTTTTCAACTGCTTTTATGGTAGAGAACTGTTTCAAAGGAAATTCAGTACATATAAAAGATTTATAGGAAAGATGGATCATAAGATGGTCATTTGCTGCACAAAACGTTTCGAAAGAATATTCCTTTAGTTTGAAAACTCCCTCTATATTTCTTTGTAGGAAGTTGAAGATACAATGGCAACTGATAAAAACAATGTTGCTCTATGGATGAACACAAAATTTTTAATTCAGGGGTTATGAATGACATTCACACTTTTATACCAGTCTCAGCATCAGTTTTAACAGCAACCCTGACAGTTTTGGGCTCTGCTTCAATTAAATAGATTCAAAAGCTTTAAAGAGGATGCTCATGTTTGACTAGCAATCACTAGCAATATCTAACAACAGGAGCGATGCCTTATCGTGAATATGAAATTCGCACATATTACATAAAAGA